GTCTGAACCGTTGATAAAAGTCCAAGGAGAGCAGCCGTTTCAGTAGGCACGCCATGGTCCGGCCAGGAATGGAAAGCGAAGTGTTCGACAATGCGAGTACGACCAGACTAGGAAAATAGCGTATAATGGACTAGATGAGACTCAAGAGACAGAAGCATGGCCAAAGAGGCACGTAAAGATTAACAAAAAGGGACTCGAGAAATCACGCGTTTCAAATCAATAAGACGAAATGGAGGAAGGTGGAGCAAAACATTTAGCAATTCTTCGATCAATCAATCAATCAGTATATTTGGAGTAAATGATATGGCCCCTTCAAAACCTACTTTAAACGGTCTACGTGTGCGCGAGAAGTAGTTAATGTGCAAAATTTTAACAGGTAGTTTTAGTATACAGAATGTATAAAACTAATCAATAAACATAAATGTTGGAAAGGTTTGGCATTTGTGAAATAACAGAAAAACAAAACATTCACTGCAGTTGCACAATGAAGTTTTAATCAGAGTAAAACTTAAAGTAAACGATCTACTGATATTCAGGGGTAGTATGGTTACACATATTTCAGTTGTCCGTTAAAAGGGTGCGTAGAGTTCGCGTTAACCTTTGATGGGGGATTATCCAGACGTCCCTTGAATATGTTCACAGTGAGAGCATGCACAATATACGCCAATAAAGAAGTCAAGTGGTGAACGACTCCCTGAGAAAAAAAAAACAGGAGCTTTGATTGGTGTGACGCTGCTCCTTTTTAAGCTGGAAACTGTGCCTTTAGAGATTATTTTTTTTGGTGTCATTCCAAAATGATTTCCTCAGTTGGCATCCAAATAAAGTCGCCTTAGCAGCTGAAAAGTCGCTATAAGGTCACCTCTGTCCTGCCCATAGGAGGAGGGGATAGAGATTCAAGGCAGTCAGGCGCTGTTCGTACGTAAAATGTTGGAGTTAGCAAACAGTCTCTGTAGCTCATTGTTGTGCATCTTTAAAAAAATCTACGTTTTTCCGAAACCACGGGCACCAAGCCTTTGCGGCATATTCCAGCTGCGGCCGCACAAATGCCTACGTACGCTACGGAAGACACACCCAGTTAAGTTAAAAAGAACGTTTTTCATATCGCGCTTGTAAGTGACACTGCTCAGGTTACGATTTTGGGACGCTGTGTTGTGACACTTAAGTCGTCTCTAATAGATACTTCAAGGTCATTTTATTAACGGTCTAAAATGGCTGACGTTCCCAGGGAAGGTGTCATGAGAGTGCATTTTTTTCTGCGTCGTGCTAATACCATGTGCATTGGCAAACACTTTTTGGCATTGGAATTCACACACCACTTTTGCTCCAGGCTTGCACTTAGTCTATGCACGCCTTTAGTGCCTG